CAATAACACAAACGCTCTGCATTCTTATACATAGTTATTATTAGAAAGTATTAAAAAAATACATCTTGTACATATGAAAAACAACTCAGATTTATCAGTTATAAAAAAAAGTCCATCGAAAGTTAAAACTACGGTGGATTTGCCCATATACTGATTTTATAATTTCTTGCACTTTGAATCAAATACAGACTTGATCGAGTAATTTTTGACAGTTGCTTATGTGTATGTTGCTGTACTCACAAGGAAAGGTCGCGACGTTGTACCAATTGATTTGGACGATATTTATAGGATCAATAGATGACTATGTGGAGTATTGCAGGGTAAAGTAATAAGACGCACTACTCAAGCGTTCGCGAGAAGATCGAATTTGAAAATTTCGAGTTACTTTCTAAGGATATTAAATAGATCGTTTAATCGAAGAGTGCGTACCGTAGTATAGCGTCAACGCTGCTAATGTCGATGCTGCTAATGTCGACATTACTAACCTAGTACGCTAACACTACGATACGCACTTTTCGATTAAACGATCTATTTAATATCCTTATAAAGTAACTCGAAATTTTCAAATTCGATTTTCTCGCGAATGCTTGAGTAGTGCGTCTTATTACTTTACCCTGCAATAGTCCACATAGTCGTCTATCGATCCTATAAATTTCGTCTAAATCGATTGGTACAACGTCGCGACTTCTCCTTGTTAGACTTGGCTGTGCAATCGAAATAAATCGTTAAGAACATACAAAGATGTTTTTTCGGGTTTGAACCGCGTTAGTGTCATTTTTATACCGACGTTTTGTGAACATTACAGCTCACTTCATCAGGGTTTGAAGAGCAGCCTGATACTGAGCAGTACTCAGGCTGCTCTTCAAACCCTGATGAAGTGAGCTGTAATGTTCACAAAACGTCGGTATAAAAATGACACTAACGCGGTTCAAACCCGAAAAAACATCTTTGTATGTTAATACTACACACCGCGAAAGCATCAAATATCAAATCGTTAAGAATTTTTAAGAATTTTAAAATTTTATCTGACCAGTTTTGAGATATTGTTGAATAAAACTATGTAAAAATACTTTTAGGAAAACTATTTTTTGAAAACTTGTGACCGAAAAGTGCTCTTAATTTATACTTTCAAATACGATAATGACATGTAAAATAGCTAGTTTATTTTGATATAAATTACTATCAGGACAAAAATTTATATAATTTTTTGCTTCAGATATTTTATAATTTACTTTGAAGAAAAAGATTCAAATACACGTAAGATAAAACAGATATGGCAAGATATGTTAATCGGACACAAATCTAATCAGACAAGAAACGGACACATAAATCGAATCACACAAAACAGACCTAATTAGACACAAGCTGAAATAGACACAGACGGCGGTCTTAATTGAACAGAATCCGAGTCGGACACACTAAGCATCACACACATAATGGACTCATTCGAACACAATTTCAATCGGACACAAGTTGAAACAGATACATGACAATTCCAATCATGGACACAGTTTCAATTGTATACAAGTTGAAACGGGCACATGACAGTTTCAATCGAATACTGTTTCAACCCTAATAGGCAAATTGTGAAAATATTGTACAAAAATGGCATCATGAATAACGACGATCCTGCAATAATTGCACTAAGATGATTCGCCATAATGCAACAGTTTTGTCGAAATAAAATTTTGTAAATACAATTTGTCAAAAATTGCGAAAAAGTCGTTATGCGATTCTATAAGTATAGGGGAGACCGGGGCTAGTTGTGACACGGGGTTAGTTGTCAAACTGCTATTATCTTGCTTACTAAATCTTGGAAAATATTCTTCTTTTTATTGTAAGTTGCTACTAGTTGTGTTAGTAACGTGTACGAAAGAACTTTTCTTAAAAACATTATATATGATATTTACGAGTACTTTTGTAAAACTGGATATGGCAAGTAAATTTTTCTGATCTCGATTCTTTAGTAATTTTATTGGTTTAAAAATTTCTAATTGCAGTTTTATCTTATGTATAGAAAATATGATAGTTTTAAATAAGTTTTCCTATATTTATTTAATCGTCATCGCATCGCAGTTTATAAATATAATATCTTTTATTTAAAATGAACATTTGGGATAAGTTGACTCAAATTGAGACGGAATAAGTTGTCACACGGTGAGCATGCGCGAAGAAGTAATCGGAGTGATCGTTATGCGTCGTTATAACTTTTTCAGTACCTGTCATTGTTTTTTTTTTATTAAAGATTAGGTTTTTTTTTATTAAAGATTAGGTTACTAATTATGTTTTATAGTTTTTAACTGATTTAGTATTGTGAAATCATTTAAACTTGTTTTATATATACATATGATTATTAATATTGTATAAATACTTTATACTTAATGTATAATGTTATGTACTCTCAATAAATTTAATAAAATAAAAAACAGAAATTTTATATCTTGTTGTTTCTCTGTATAAAAGACATGTGACAATTAACCCTGGGTATGGGGCAGGTTGACAAATCTGCGCGATTGTACTTAACATTAAAATACTCTTTTGTGTAAAGATATATAAGAATAATATTTGTTTTTTCTTAAAGCTAAAGGATGTGACTATTATATAATGTACCCAATATTATATAATATTGCGTACATTTTTTTTTTTTACAATCTATTTTGGATGTTACTTTGTGCCTCGGTCTCCCCTACATGAATGAAGTTAATTTCTTCATATGCAATTATATTTCTACATATTTTAAATATTACATAGCTAAAATGTTTTTCTTAATTATTGGACAATTTCTTTTTGAAATTAATTTTGCAAATATACTGCTAAGATGATTCGCCATATCGTTATTCTTTTGCCAAAATAGTATTTGGAAAATATTTTTGCAAACAACTACAAATATTTTATAAAAGATCACTGTTTTTACATCTAGTTCCTAAAATATATCTGTATAATTGCAAATTACAATTTTAGTGCACGATTTTGTCACATAATTTTGTAAATGTTTTCTTATCAGGGAATCTGACACAATAAACAATGAAATCCTAACTTAATCTATAATATGTCACTGCGATAGTACATACATTGACAAACGATATGGATTATGACAATTAATGATATTATAGTAATATAGATTGAGTACATTAGATTTTTTTCAGGAAAGAGCAGGGGGAGAAGCAGATCCTCTTCCCTGCTCACACATGTACGATAATATATGATATAAACAAAATATTTACTTTTCATATACAGGATGTCTTACTTTAACTTAGACACTTAAATATTTCAGTCGCAACGCATTTAAAAAAAATTTTTAGACAAAAGTTATATTGAAGATGAAAAATTATATGACATTATCAATTTAATTGTAGATAGCGCCACTTTTGAGATTTCATTATGGGGGCCATTTTTTAAAATAGAAGTTGATTTTTTTCTTGAATTAAAAGTTGTAGCTAGTACATACATACAACGGTTTTTTATTTTTTGAATTTAGATAATTTTTTACTGAGTTACAGCGTCCTAAAGTTCACGCACACTTACACACACGCTAAAACAGGCCATCTGGATAACTCGCTTGCTTTTGATGGTGAGAAAAATGCATCAAACCAAGATTGTTTAGTTTTGAAAGAGACATAATCTGATGAAATAGTAATGTTTTATAGATAGAAGTGTAGAAGAGATATCAAGGTCACCTTAATTTTTTTAATAGGATAATATGTGTTTTTTTACTTATCTTTCGATAGAGCGTTTTAAGACAAATGCAATAACCTATAAATAAAAATTATTCATGATCACCAAAGGTCACCTACAATAGAAATTACTTGTTTCAAGACTGATATTTAATGCTTTTGTGGTGTGTTGTATTAACATTCAAAAATGTCTTTTGGATTTGAACCGCGTTAGTATCAATTTTATATCGACGTTTCGTGAACATTTCAGCTCACTTCATCAGGGTTTTAAGGGCAGCTTGATTATCTCAAAATTGTTCGAATACTTTTGTATCTCTCTAGTTGTTATATAATGCTGCTATTAACATTAGATTATGCCTCTCTGAAAACTAAGCAACTTTCTGATTTGATGCATTTTTTTCTCACTATCAAAAGCAAGCGAGTTATTCAGGTGGCTTGTTTTAGCGTGTGTAAGTGTGCGTAAACTTTAGGACGCTGTAACTCAGTGAAAAATTATCTAAATTCAAAAAATAAAAAACCGTTGTACGTATCTACCAGCTACAACTTTTAATTCAAGAAAAAAATCAACTTCTATTTTTAAAAATGGCCGCCATAATAAAGTCTCAAAAGTGGCGCTATCTATAATTACATTGATAACATCTTTATTTCTCCCTCTCAATGCCATATAACTTATCTGAAACATTTGGTTTGTTTAAAAATGTGTTGCGACTGAATAATTGAGAGTCTAAGTTAAAATAGGACTTTGTATGTACGATGTCGGAAGTTTCGTTGTTTATTCGAATGGATTTGTCATGTGTCATTTCGTTGGTTATTATATCTTATTGATACCATGTTTGATTGAGATTTTCACGTATCCGTTTCAACTTGTATCCGATTGAAACTGTGTCCATTTGGATTTGTTAGGTGTCCGTTTGAAACTGTGTGTTCGAATAAATCCATTATATGTTTGTTGCTTAGTGTGTTTGATTAAGACTGTGTCTGATTGAGATTGTCTATTTCAACTCTTGTCCCATTGAAACTGTGTCCGATTGAGACTGTTATGTGTCTGTTTCAGTTTGTGTCCAATTGAGTTCGTTATATGTCCGTTTCTTATCTGATTCAGCTTCTGTCCGACTGATACATTCTGCCGTGTCTGTTTTATTTTGTGCGCATCTGGAAATCATCCCATTTAATACATATTTAAATTTCCTGTAGTTATATTTATTTTGTAGTAATATTATTTTATAATTAGAGATTTCCATAATTTTAAATTTCAGAATAACTGTAAAATAGTATATATTATATGATATATTATGTTTTCTATTTTATATACATTTTTATATACAGATCATCCAGATATCCCTCAGCGAACTGGAAAAGTTAATGATGTCGATAAATTTGATACGTTATTCTTTGGAGTTCATTTTAAACAGGCTCATACTATGGATCCAATGTGCAGAATGTTATTAGAGCACGCATATGAGGCCGTTATTGATGCTGGAATAAATCCAAAGCAGTTACGCGGATCACGAACAGGCGTCTTCATGGGCGCATGTTTCTCCGAGTCTGAGAAGACATGGTTTTATGAGAAGTTACAGGTAAATTTTGAAGTTCTAAATACTGAATATATGTTAGTTCTTATTTTAATAAGATTTACAAGCGTAATGATGTATGGCAATTCTTACGAAAAAAACGTTCAAGTTTTGAACGTTAACGCTCAACATTAAGTGTAAACGCCCACACTTTAGCATAAACTTTCAATATTCAGTGTTAACGTTTCATTTTGAGCGTTAATGTTCAACATGTGAAAGTCAACCTTCAATTCAGGTGTAAACTTGTAACTATACTTTCAACTTAATAGTTGTTCTTGTACATTTAGAGTAAAAAGTTAGTCGACAGAAAGTGACGACGTGGCAACGTTGCATTTGACAGACATATAAGTTAGCATCGTGTTCATGAGCATTCGTAAGGTTACAAAGTAAGCATGCACTAATACTTCCATACATATATATGCATGCTTACGACGCACAGTGGTCCAAAATCTCAAAATCGTGGTCAAAACCCCAAAAATAAAGTTTTGATCTAGAGAATTCTAACTGTTGAGTTGGCTACAGTGACAATGTGCCTATTGAATGGCAAAAGAGAGAAGGGTTTATCTTTTGTACCTGAGTCTATGCTTTAATTCAAAGTTGGCTTTCGTTTGAGCAGCGTGTTGTGTGCGTCAGTACGAAAATAAACGTATACTTTAAAAGTGCATAACTTCTGGAAAAAATAAGTGATTTTAATTTTATAAAATGGATGCTATTCCTGAAGGTAAGTAGAATATTTATTCGCATTGAAATAACTAAAATTATCGGGTTGAAGATTGTATAATGATAACATTGTTTATAAAGAAAACGCTTAAACTTTTCTGAAAATGTTTACAAATATAGACAAAAAGTTATATATCCCGCAATATCCCACCAAAATTTTTGTTTAGGCTTGTAGGTTATACTTTTATCTAGCAAAATTGGTAAAAATTAGCTGCTACTTTCTGCAACTTTAGTTGTATGGTTATTTTATACAATGAGATCTCCAAATATATATTCCTTTTTTGGACAAGTTAAGAAACCATTAAATATTCGCGTTTTCTATTAATTGTCTTACATGTTTAATGTATTGACAATATTATAATACATTTTAAACATGTAGGATAATTTTTAAGGTTTTTTTTAATCAGCGATTAAAAAAACTTCGGGATACGAACTTTTGTTTAAATTGAAGTACGATTTCATATTTTGACTATGTTTTTGGGATCCGCTATTTTGTTTTTTAAACTTTTGACTTCAGATTCATAATCAGCGACCTCAAAAACTTTGGGATACCAACTTTTGTTTAAATTGAAGTATGATTTCATATTTTGACTATGTTTTTGGGATCCGGCATTTTGTTTTTTAAACTTTTGACTTCAGATTCATAATCAGCGACCTCAAAAACTTCGGGATACCAACTTTTGTCTAAATTGAAGTACGATTTCATATTTTGACCACGTTTTTGAGATTTTGGACCACTGTGCGACGTTGCCAAGTCTCCGCAAAAAAAACGTCCCCCTACTTACGACTTCCATGCACAATCAGCTAAATTCCAAACTTTACATTGCTTTTATTCGATATCCTTACAAAAAAACGTTCAACTATTGACTGTAACGTATAAAATTACGTTAAACTTGACCGTAAACTTTCAATATTCAGCGTTATACGTTCAATTTTGAGCGTTTACGGTCAAATTGAACATGATTTCGTACGTTTCTCCGTAAAGGTAACTAGACGATAAACTACTTTTTTTCTTTTTTTATTATATTCTTATAGATATTTTATATTATATATTAGTTTTTTAACAAATTTCTAAAAAAATTTTTGGAGATAAAGCTATAATTGTCACTTCGGCAAAGTTTCGATATAGGGATTACGTATTAAAAGTTGAAACTTTGAAGACAAGTAACTCGAATTTGAGACGGTAAAAAGTCCCAAAATTTTAATCACATATATATATTGATAAGACTTATATTAACATGTGATTAAAACTTTAAGACATTCCTATAAAACTCGTTTTTGGGAACAACTATCTTAACGTTGAACGTTAAGACGTTTAAATTCAATATTAAAGTAATCATTTACTGTTGTGAAGACGGTTAAATGTTCAATTTTTATCAAAACTGCCTAAAAGTTGAGTGTAACTGTTAAAGTAATTTACTTGAACAAAATTCAATATTTAATGAAATTTACTGATAAACAACAATAAGTTTGACATTACACTAAATTAAATTACTTGGTGTCAAGTAAACATAAACTTAATGTTGCATATAGATCTAGAAAAGTAATCATGTAAATTATAAAAAGAATCATAAAACACAAATCATAAGACATTATAAATATTTCTGTATATTTATAACCGTTTCACAAAAAGATAAGAACAGGCGCCAAGTACACGCACAACACGTATATATATTGTATTGTTGATAAAAAAAACCTGTTTTACAAAAGAAGTGATACCAAAAGGTAGCACCAAGTAAACTTTTGTTCGTTACTATATAAAAAAAAATAAATAAAAAATATTTAATGCAAAAAAACTTGGCGCGGCTGCATCAAAAACCGAGAGATAGATCTACGTGCGTGTGCAAATTATGTACGAACTGCAGATAGACATGTTCTATTTGCACGCGCGAGCTTTATATTAAGTACAATTTATTTCACATATTTCACATATATAGTATTATAATACGTGGTTAAATGGATTATACTAGAGAAGATATTTAGAATTATAGTACGATTAGTATTTTATAATAGAATTATAATTTTTAATAAAACTAATTTATTGATTGTATATGTGTTCTCTCTCTCTCTCTTATTATTTTCCTTATCTTACTTCAGTATTAGAAAACAAATTAATACTCTGTATAAAAGTAATGCTTTAAAAAAGAAACTTTTATGTTTAATTAAATAAAACAGTATCGAGTACTTATTATGTCAGACTTACGCATGTGTCTAATAAACACATTTTAGTTCACTGTTTAAGGTGCAACCGCACCAAGGTTTTTTGCATTAAATATTTTATATTTTTTTATATAATAACAAACAAAAGTTTACTTGGTGCTACCTTTGGATATCACTTTTTTTGTAAAACAAGTTTTTTTATAAACAATACAATATACAGGGTCCGATAATTAGTGTAAAATCTTTCATAAGCAGATAGAAGGAGTACAACTGATTCAAAAAGTCCTGAACCATTTTTTTCTATTATATATAATAAAAGAGTACTTATTGAATAAATTAAGCCAATCAGCGCCGACTTTTAGCCAAACGCATGTCAGTCAACCACGCGCCTGGTGTGCATAAGCGCTCCGCGCGGCTCATTGACGTGCGCCCGGCTAAAGGTCGGCGCTGAGTGACTTGATTTATTAAATAATTACTTCTTTATTATGTAATATAATAAAGCGCATAAGACAGCCCGGCGCGCTTCCCGCGGTTACCATTTATTGTTATAGTATATGCTGTTATATTAGCTCCTCCCATATGTTGCTATGAGTAACACCGTAAGCGCGCGAAGCGCACCGGGCTGTCTTACACTGATATTTGTTAATTAAGATCTCGCTATTGCAAAACTATTGCAAAATTAGCAAAATGGTATAGGGCTTTTTAACTCAGTTTTACTTCTTTTACCTACCTACAAGAGGTGTTACACCAATTCTGGGACACCCTGTATATATATATATATAAACTGTCACTCCTGACAGTTCGTTTCGCGATTTCGTTGCACGTAACACTATTGTGTTTTTTGATTCTGTCTTTCTTTTTCTAACTCATACTTCTGGCCTTTCTTCTTTTTCTTTCTTTTAACGCGTTTGTACATGCTGCCATCTGGTATTCGAACTAGGAAGTTGCACAAATTGTGATCCGACGAAAATTTCTACCATGAATTTTCATGCTGATTATACTTTATCTTCGAGTATCTTTGAAAGATAGACATAAATAAAAGACATAAATAAAAAAACACATAAACACTTTTTTCTTTATTATATCAACGCAAATTGATATAGACTAAAAAGAAATCGATCAGGTCAGTCATTATTAAAATATAAATATTTCACTTTTACAAATGTCAAAATTTTATTCATTTTTGCGTAATAGAGGCACGGAGTGCTTCGCGTCGGTCGCGCGCAACTTCATTCACTATCGTGTCTCTTGATATTTATACCAAAAAAAATAACGTAGATTTAAAATGATAGAAGTACAATGATATTTTAGTCAGTTTCAGTAAAAAAACTTTAAGACTTAATTCTTGAAAATAGAACGCTACTGTGCTATTTCTATGAGTATAGTTCCACAATTTATGTCCTGTATATTTTTATTCTGTACAGTAACTTAAAAATTGTTCTTTATAATATTATTGCCTCTTCAAGTCCGTGGGTCTCCCAGATCTATTTAAAAGTTTGAAACTAGTGTTTTTACTAGATATTAGTTTAGCGCGACATCTAAAGGCCTGAAAAAGAACTGTAGGGTCTTAGACAATAGTAGAGGTCATTGATAGCGTTATTCGTTTAATAACTTTGCAATTATTTAATTGTGAAGTGCAAAAATGGTCTAAGAGACTCAAGTGCGGACAAGACGTTTGGCAAAAAGTAAGTAACTTTTTTCCAGTTTGAGCACTTGCAATATATCAATTTGATGTTTTCTTCATAAGTTTATGAAACTATATGTACATTTACAGCGATTACGGCGTGCACAGTATGCGATTTGCGGCTACGAGAGCTGCCAGCTGTAGAATAATTTTGCAAAATATTGTCTTTTTCTTTCAATACTTATATCTTTGAAATTACTCAAAATGTTTCTAATCTGTTCCTTCATCGACGCAGAATCGTTCAAACATTTTATTAAAAAAAAGAATATGACAAAATATTTATTTATTGCTAAAACATTGTGTGTTAAAGTTGAGCGCTGAAAACATCTATTTTTCAAAAAAAGTCCCAAAAGACCCATTGTAAAAATGTTTTACTTTTTTACTTTTTAGAAGATATTTCTTTTCTAAAAGTACGAACGCGCAATTCTCTACAAAACCGCGT